TCCCCCGTGTTTCTGACTTCCTCCAAGTCTCCTTTCCTCCATCAAAGCCTCTGAGCTCCTCATGAACAGATCATTCAACAAGGGTCTGCGTGCTGTACCTTAGCTTTTTCACTCGAGGCTGGCATTCTACCACTTGAGTCACAATTCCCCTTCCAGCTGTTTCCTGGTTAATTGGAGATCACAGTCTCATGGACTTTCCTGCCTGGGCTGGCTTCAAACCACAATCCTCAGATCTCAGCCTCCTGAGTAGCTGGCATGAGCCACTGGTGTTTGGACACACATTTTCCCCCCTCATGCTGTACATGCATCTTGGGGCAGGACCATTTCCTCAGATCCGGAGTACAGGTGTAGCTGGGGGAGGGGTTGTGTCAGCAGGTTCACACGCTCTAGAAGCTCATACACTTCCACCTTTTCTCTCCCTCGACCTGATTTAGCATTGTCCGTATGATTCCAGCTCACCTGTCCGTTCTTCTAGCCCTGACGTGGCCCTACCTCTACTGTCGAAAAGTCCTTTCGTTGAACACCTGGGACAGGCTCATGAGGCAGAGGAGCTTCTCTGACAATGACATCCTCATGGCCAAAGCTTGAGCAGCGGCTGATGTGTTGTATGAAATGCTGCTCAAGTGGCTACAATGGGCAGGGCAGCGTGCCTCCATCAACGCCCTGCTAGATGCCTTGCAAACCCTGGAAGAGACATTCGCCAGGGACACAATTGAGAACCACTTGGTTCTCTGGGAAGGTCATCTGTGGAGATGATGTGAGCTGTGCTAACTCACGGAAGTGAAAGCATTTCCTCAGGAGGGTGCACATTCCCTAGTGTGCCTGTTTTTTCTTGGAGAAACCAAAAACAACCTCTTAGGAACAATATCTAAAGTTTACGTGAAAGGGAGTTGAAGAAACTATTCTAGAATAGAGCCACCAGATATTCCACTGGAATGGAGCTTATCACTTTTTCAAGCAGTTATTAAGCAAACTGAGAATGAATAGTCTTTTTTTTCCCAGTGGGGAGAGCACACTTGTATGAATGTAAATGTGTCGGATGTAGTGTTAGCGTTTTTCACAGTACTTTTTATCTGAATAGCAATTACATATTGCATTTGGTGTCATGCCTGTAATCCCAGCATTTAGAAGGCTGAGGAAGGGGGCTACTTAATGAAAACCTGTCTAGGAAAACAAAACAACCGTCAGGTGCTGGTAGATCATGCTCTTAATCTTAACTATTGGTAAGGCTGAGCTACAGAAGATTGCGGCATGTGAGATTTATCTTATTTGTTATTTGTCCATTATTTATGGATGGATATGTATGTTGCCTATTGATTACTTATGTTTTCTGTATTTGTATGAACAGGTGCATTAAAATACAGTTGCTAAGTTTTTAGCTAGATTAAGTGACAATAGAAACAGAAAATATAGAAGGGAGAAAGCAGTAGCTTTCTCCTTTGTAGTATTTTACTGTTTTCATCCAGTTTTCTTCAACTCTAGCTGGGTAACTTGAGACCAGTATTACAAAACGGGCAATTTTATATTTATTCATTATGCGTTGGTTGTATTGGGGCTTACATTATTCCTATCTCAGCCTCGAAAATCTGCTGGGATTACAGGTGTGTGTCACATTTCACAAAATGATGTGTTTTTGGCTCTCTACCTCTAGAGAGCTAATGTAACTGTTCTTGAACTTCCACTCTTCCTCTGTTGCCGAGCTGGGGAGGTGGGAGAAGGATCCGATTAGAAGTGCTAAGTAATCTCCGTGTTATATGTTGTACCCTATGTGTATTCGTGAGGCCTCCCAGAAAAGAGCCAGGGATCTGTTCGCGATGACTGCCGGGGTCCCAATGGGGAAGGCTTGTAAATGTGAAGTGTTTGCTAACACAGGACCAAGATGGTGCTTCCCATCTGAACCCCAGAGCCATTCTTGGTTCCTATATGGGGACCATAACCCTCTGTAGGCATATGACTTCTGTGAACAATACTGAAACAGCAATTCTTAAATACTATGACGGTGAGACTCAGAATGGCCAACATGTTCAGATTCTGATGTTTCTCCTTTCTTTTATTTATGCCTACCTTACGGTTTGAACTCAGGATATGGATACTGTCCCTGAGCTTTTTTGCTTAAAGCTAGCACTCTACCACTTGAAGCAGAGCTCTTATTTTCAGCTCCCCCCCTTCCTTTTTTTGGTATGTGTGATTAATTGCAGAGTCTCACTGACTTTCAGATCTGGGCTGGCTTTGAACCTCAATCCTCAAGTCTCAGCCTCCTGAGTAGGATGACTCATGAGCCATCAGGTCCTGGCTCTTTCTTCTATTTTTACATCTCATTCAGCACCAGTTGCAGGGATTCAGACCTGGAATCCAGCTCCTAGGGGGAGAGAGAGACCATGACATGATGGTTGCTTGAGGCTAGCCCTAGCAAAAAATGAAACCAGTGAGAATTCATCTCAGTCGATAGAAACAGTCTACATACACTCTGGTATATACTTGCAGTTCAAGTGGTAGAGCCTGCCTAGCAAAGTCAACTCTGAATTCAAACCCTACTATCACCCTCTTAAAAAATAACACGATAAACTCAATCTGTGTTCAGTATCAGCCCTTCCAGCAAAGTCTTGTCTTACTCGGTTTTATGGAAATGACTGTTCCCAGGGCTTGGGGAACCTTTCTAGCCCCAAGTGTCCAAAGCCTGGCCCCAACTGGAAGGGGCTGACAAGATGAGACCATCAAGTATTAGCCTCCGTGGCGGTTCCTGCTTGACAATGACAATGGAATCCCCAGTCCGTGGCTGTCCTTGTAGCTATGTGATTTTGCACCCCAGCTTTGCTGTTCCCTGTACCCACAGCAGGCTTTGTGCTCCCCCTGCTGTTTACCAGCCTCAGAGTCTAACCTCGGGACCATGTCCAGGATGTTACACAATACAAGGAAGGCCAGAGCGTAGAAAATACTCAATGTATTTATGAATTCATGACCAAATTAAATATGAAACCTTATATAAAAAGAGGTGTGTCCTTTGTTATTTTTTCACCCCAGCACTGAGTCTGGGGGACGTGAGTGTCCTGGTGGTGGTTACTGCTCCCCCCTTCATACCTCCTGTCCCTCCGTCTCGCCCTGCACTGGGGCGTCTACTGCTTCTGCCTCCCTGGAATGCAGAGCACCCGTTTCTGGGGGAGATAGAGTTCTGCATTCTGCACCTCCTCTCTCTCCCATCTGGTTTCCCCCAGCCCCACTGGGCTGCAGGGGTCCCCGAGGTGCAGGTTGGCTATGGAGCTGTGGGGCAGAGGGTGGCGGGTTCCTGAGGGGGCGAGCTGGCCCTGGTTGTGGGGAGATGGGAGTTTTATGGCCTCTTTGGCTTCTCAACTTTGCTGATATCTACTACACTTTCTCTCTGAGAGTCTTTCCATCTTCATCAGTGGTGCCAGGTTGCTCAGTCCTTGCAAGCACCTGAGACCACCCCACCCCCAATACTGTGCTCTCACCCACAACTTCCTGGAGGCCAGATATATCCCCAGCTCTTCCCCCAAGGAAGCCATGGGCACTACACTGGTCTCCCCCTATGCTCCTTTTCCCTGCCAGGAGTCTTGAAGCCATGGGCAGGGAGGCTGTCCAGCCAGCAGAGGGCAGCACACAACCAGCTCCCCAAGCCAGCCAGCTCAAGGGACTTGGGAGGAAGCTGGAAGCCTTGCAGAGTTCCCTGCACAGACATAGAGACCTGCTTGAGCTACCACCACCTGGTCCTTCTGACCAGGACTGAACCTCAGATCTCTAGATCTTGGTACTACGTGACTGTTGCAGGGCTGCCTTTCTTTCTGAGTGTGCTCTTCCCAGACTAGACAGTCTGGCTCCTAGGATCCAGCCAGTCCACTCGCCCAGCCTCTTAAGCATCTTCTCACAAGTGGGCCACCTGAGATCATACCTAAGGCTCCATCACCTGTGTCTCAAAGGATGCTGGGTGGTAAGATACAGATTAGGAAACAAAGGGTCAACTTTAGGCCCTATTTTTGTCTTGATGGTGCCAAGCTCCAGTTTTGATCTTCTAGTCACATCCTGCCTCCTCTTCCGACTAACCTTGTTTTCCTTTCTCTCCTGCCCAGCTGTGTCCTTTCTCCTGATACCTGATCCTTGCCCCAAGCTTCCCCAAAGTGTACACTCCACAAGCATCTGTGGGATCACCCTTAGAAAGGGACAGGGGCAGCCTGCAGCAAGAAGCCTTCCATTGACCAAGGCCAACTCAGGCTACCAGGGAGTGGAGGCCAGGATCTGGAACTGCCTGAGGGTCAGTTGATTGGACAGCCTAACCCTCCCGCTCCTCATCGGAGGCCTCCGATCTGCTATATAAATACGTAAGCTATGCTGGGTTGTTTTTTCTTTTTCTGATTTTCCTTCTTTGGGAAAGCAGAGGGTAGAGTGGCTTTGTTGGTGGTGGTGGTGTGTTTGGTTTTCATTCTGTCCTTGGGATTGGTGGTGGTTTTTTGCTCATTTTGCCCCATCCCCTAACAAGCAGTCCTGCCCAGAGGTGGAGGAAGGGCCCTGTGGAGACCCCACCCTTCCTCCTCTCCACCCCAGCTGATTGCTGCTACTCTCATTTCCAAATCGCGAGGAGTGCAGGAGGGGACAGAGGTTTCTCACTGCACCAAGAGGTCACAACACCTCCATAGCCAAGAGCTCTGAACCACCTCTGCCCCTCCACCAGGACAGACGCTGGCGGAATATCAGTCTCCACATGTCCTCTAGCAGCTCAGCTCCAGAATGCAGACGCTGTGCTCGAAGCCTTCACCTCTACCCTGACTTCTCCACGGAGAACCCGAGTAGGCTCGGTGGGGATGTGCTCCCGGAGCTTCCGGAACCTTCAAGTCCACGGATGGAAAGACATGGCGGGAGACAGGCAGGACCCTCATGCTCACTGGGAAGGGGACGGCTCCCTGCCCCGAGCAGAGACCAAAACACACAGACAAGCCCTCTGCTGGAGGCTCTCTCCTTGGACTCCATAAAATCCTTGGGCCCACAGAAGAACACCAGAGCTCTTAGCTCATTCCTGCAGCCACCTCCTGGCACGTGTCTCCTGTCTGCCTGGATGTGGGTACTCTGCAGGTAGGCCCTGGGCTGAGCCCGCTCCTCTCTGGCACAGCCATGTTGGCTGGTGAGGCCAGCTCTGCCCCTAGGGTCCTGGCTACGTGCGCGCCCTTGTCCCCGTCAGGTGGAAGGGGTGATGCAGAAGAGCAGAGGGCCAGGGGCAAACGGGGACAACAGCAGCGGGGTCAGAAGAAGGTGGCGACACCTCAGACCACAGCCGAGGAGGAAGACGGGGAGGCTGAGCTGGCTGCGGAGGAGGAAGGGGAGGAGGGACTGTTCCAGAACAGCCACCGCCGCTTGGGCTGCCGCCTCAGATGCAAATAGTCCTCCTTCTCCCGCTCCTTCCGTGCCCTCTGGTAGTGATCCTCTTCCTTCAGGTACCAGACAGGCAGCCACCGGTGCTTCTCAAAGTACTCCTGGTTTTCTGGGGGCAGAATGCAGGGCGATGGGTCAGGAGGACCAGAGGAGGAGGGCCAGGGAGGAAGAGCACCGGATGCGGATGCACACTGCAGGGAAGCCCTGCCACAGGACCCTGGACCAGCACAGAGCCTATCCTGCCACCATCCAGGCCAGCAAATGATGCCGGGGATGAGGGAGGCATGAACTCACGAGGCTGTGCAGATACAGCTGCACCCCAGTTTACATCTGAGCTGAGTCACTCCCCAGCAGCCCATCCTCAGTGGAAAATGCCATCAACTGAAAATGCATTGAAACTAGGTATGGTAATACATGTCTGTATGCCCAGCTAATCAGGAGGCAGAGATCGGTGGATCACAGTCCAAATCCAGGCCTAAGAAAAAGTGATCAAGATCCTAGTTGAAAAACAAACTAAATACAGAGGTGCTAGGGTGTGGCTCAAGAGGTAGAACACTGGCCTAGCAGTCACCAGTACCAAAGAAAGATAGGAAGACAATGGACTGGCTCCCCTGACCTCTGAGCATCCTGGCTTAGTACAGTTCCCTATAGGGTATCCCTTGTTGCCCCTGAGATCATAGGAGCCCCGTGGGAGCTGTAGCTGTGGCTGCAACCCAGCATCACCAGAGAGGATTAGACCTTGTAGGCCAGCCTGGGAAAAGATCCAAATTCAAAATACAGTTTCTACTCAACTCATATTGCTTTTGCACCATGGGGATCCTTTGTGTTAAGAATAAAGCAGGTTGCCAGGCACTAGTAACTCATGCTTGTCATCCTAGCTACACAAGAGGCTGAGACTTGATAGTCAAAGGTAGCCTGGGCAGCAAAGTCCCTAGATGCTTAACCACCCAAAAGCCAAAGGTAAAGGTGTGGCTCAAGTGGTAGAGCATCAACCTGGAGTGTTGTTAAAGATAAGGAAAAGCACTCAGGTGCTAAGTTCAGGTACTGGTCATAAAGAAAGAAGAAAGGAAGAAGAAGAAAAAGAAGGAGGAAGAGGAGGAGGAGGAGGAGGAGGTGGAAGGAAAGAGAGAGAAAGAGGGATGGAAGAAGAGAGGGAGGGAAGGAGGGCTAGAAGGAAAGAAAAGAGAAAGAAGGAAAGACAATAAATAAATAAACGAATGGTGGAGGAGGGGGGAGGGGAAAGGGAAAGGAAAAGAGAAGGGAAAGGGAAAAGGGAAAGGAAAGAGCAAAGATCCAAAAACAAGGAAAGGGGCAGCAAAGCCAGCAGAAGAATCCACAAGGACGGAAATGAGAGTTGTGAAGTTTTCAGAAGTTTCCAGACAGAGCAGAAACTCTTAAGGAAATCCAGAGGTACAGGCCATCTGGAACTGGCTAGACCAGACAGAGGGCCGGTGTTATTCTGGAAGACCTGGGAAACCATGCAAAGTATAGAACCAAGAGAGTAGTATGGGTGAACCTGGACTTCAGTGAGGAAAATTCTGGGAGACAAGGAGACAATGTGGAGACAAGGGGAGACAGGGCTGAGAGGAGGGAGGTGCAGTGCAGCCACAGAGGGGAGAAGGGTGGGAGCAGTGCGGGAGCCCGCAGAGCACGGAGGGACATGTCTCCCTGGAGCCCCTGCAGTGCACCTGAGAACTTCATTAAGAAGGGAAAGAATGGCCCTGGACGTGGAGGACCTCTGGGCCAGGCAGATCAAGCTGTGGACCGTGCCTGTTCTGGGGTGGGAACATCCTCTCAGTGGGTCGCAATGGCGTTTAGCACCGCTAAGTACTTTTCTGTATGTGTGTCCTGGGCTGCAGCAAGGAATGGATTTATTTTCAGTGTCCTACCCCTAGCCTGACACCCCCTTTGCACCTCTAAGAAAACAGAAGAGCAGATAGGTAGAATGAGCTGTCCCAGGCCCCCCGCTGTCCACCCAGTGCTTGTCCCAGCTGCCCCTCTGCTTGGCTGGAGTCACCTTGGCAGACTGCCCCCCTCCCCTAGGTCAAGGGAGGTCAAGGCTGCTTAGAGATCCCTGGGGTTCAGCCAGAGCTCAAGCTGAGTTCCCTCCCACAGGAGCTGAGCTCCCCAGGGGGCGGCTAGGGCTACCCGCGTGCTCACCTGGGGACATGGCCTTCATGTCTCGCGGGAACTTGCGGCACACGTTGTTGTAGTTGGTGCAGATGTGGTGGAGACACCAGTCTGCCAGCTGGTAGGCACAGTGGAACTGGGAGGGAAAGAAACACAGGTGGTCTGCAGCGACGTCTGCGGTTGCCCACGCAACTGCAGCTCTAAGGTGCAGGGCAGGCAAGACCCAGAAGTAGAAAAGCCGACCTGGGATCCTGGGCATCACTACCAAACCCTCCATCAGCTCACTCTGGTCCTGCCCATGGCGTTCACAGCTACCAGATCTCCACAGCCATTGAGCCTCTGCCCTCCTCTGATCATACCCCACACGACTTCCTTCCCCTCCCATCGGTCCCCTAAAGTGGTCTGCACCAAGCTGTGGGCATCTCAGCCTGCAGGACTGATCTTCCCAGGCCTGTCCACAGGCTTGGCATCAGCCGTGTGTTAATAGAGACTCCCATGTGGGGGGTGCACTCCTGCTACATTTTGTTTGGAAATGAGGAGTTGGCGACTTGATTTCAGAGGGAGAGTCTTTAATAAAGCAACCTTGTCTCTGTCTGAGTCTGGGGTCCCTGCTGCTGCCCAATGGTAACTACAATCTGTTCCCACTCTACCTGGTGCCCCGTGAATGCTGGGAGTTCTCTAGCTGCTTCCTGGCATGGAAGATGACAGGGTCAGTCCACCCAGTGAGGCCTTTCCTACGCCTGGCCTCCCAGCCCACGCTTTGTGGTCCCTTCTCTCCTCTGTCACGGTACCTGTGCCAGCTCCAGGAACACAAGGACGTCCCCGTCGATGTCCACCATCATCTGGGTTGCTTCCATCAGCCCGGTCACCGTGTACTGCTCTGTGACACACACAGCAGCCATCAGCTGAAGAACCACAGGAAAGGACCACACTTCTTACACCCACAGCAGGGGCTCCCCACGCGGGCAGGGAGAGACCAGCGCTAGTTCCGACAGGCCAGGAAAGACCACAGCTGACTGAAGTCTGGACACAATCTTCTCAGTGGGGAGGCAGTGAAGAAGGATGCTAAACTCCCTGAGAGGATTTATTATTTTTTTTTCAAACTAAATCGGTCCCACTGTGTAATCTGATGTAGAGAGTCTAAGTCCTCAACAGGATTAGCCACTGACAGAAGAAAGAGGCCAGCACTGGTGGTTTTCACCTGTAATGCGAGCTGCTCAGGAGGCTGGCATCAGAGGATTCATGTTCAAAGCCAGCCTGGGCAGATACATCTGAGAAACTCTTATCTTCAGTTACCTAGCAAAATGCCAGAAGTAAACGTGTCGAGTGCCAAGCTTAAGTAAAAAAGCTAAGGAAGAGTGTGAAGTCCCAATAAGACAAAAGAAAGAGCCGGGCGCCGGTGGCTCACGCCTGTAATCCTAGCTACTCAGGAGGCTGAGATCTGAGGATCGTGGTTCAAAGCCAGCCTGGGCAGGAGAGACAGTGAGATTCATATCTCCAATAAACCACCAGAAAACTGGAAGTGGCGCTGTAGCTCAAGTGGTAGAGCGCTCGCCTTGAGCTGAAGGGCTGAGGGACAGCGCCCAGGCCCAGAGTTCAAGCCCCATGGCCGACCAAAAAAAAGAAAAAAAAAGACAAAAGAAAGGAAGAAAGGAGGAAGGGAAGGGAAGAAAGGAAGAAGGGAAGGAAGGGAGAGAAGGGAAGGAAGGGAAGGGAAGGGGATTTAAAGCCATATGTTTGTTTAAACAAACCACATAGCTAAAAGCTATGGAGTATATGAGCTCAACAATGGGTTTAAAACTTCCTTGTTTGTATTAATTTGAATCTTGTAATAAAATGTGTACTGACCATGCATTTTACATTAAGACATTTGTAGTCAGGAAGTGAACAGCCTTGGCTCTGAATTTGAATGAGGAATGCCAGTATAAACTCACAAGGCATTTGATCTTACAAAAGATGAATGCATATCCCAGCGTCATCCACAGACAAGACCAGGAGCAATGGAAGCTCCAGGGGCACGCTGCCATTTCCAGCTCTGAGAAAGCAGGACTTGGAGAAGTGGACTCCAGGTGTGGTACATGAAATGCAGCAGTGGAAGCTAAAGCATCTCAGCAACCCAGATAACAAGGAGGCCCTAAGAGTCTGAAGACACACCGAAGGATCTTCCTGGCTAAAAGGACAGTATTGGACTTTAATAAGGACCACTGTAATTTATCAAAAACACTCAAATATGTTCAAACCTAAGAACTGATAAAAATATTCTTTTAAAAATACATATAAACTAGTTGGTCACTCTTATAGGTGATAGGAAACAAATGATTCTTTCAAAAGTTGGTAAATAAAAGAATCAAAACCTGTATCCATTGTACCACTGGGGGACCAAACAGTGGGAGAGGGAAGTTTCTCTTGGAAGACAGAATGAGTTGTAGTACTGATGATCTGGGCAATGATACTTGATGGCTACTAATATCAGAAGAAGGGAGGAAAGTAGACAATATACACCTATGAAGAGTTTTATACAAAACACTGTGTATCTGGTCCTGTCTCTTGGTCCAGACAACAGTTTATAGGAAATATGGGCAGACAGAAGACTATATTGAACTATACCATTAAAAAATGCAATAGCACAAACCCAGATCACAGAGAACTCTACAGGAATAAAAGATCTGCATCTTTTTTCTTTTTTAACAAAAAAATTTCAGGAGAGTTTTTTTTTTTTTGCCAGTCTTGGGGCTTGAACTCCGGGCCTGGGCATTGTCCCTATGCCCTTTTGCTCAAGTCTAGCATTCTACCACGTTGAGCGACAGCCACTTCCAGCTTTCTCCGTGATTAATTGGAGATAAAAGTCTCATGGACTCTCATGCCTGGGCTGGCTTTGAATCACGATCCTCAGATCTCAGCCTCCTGAGTAGCTGAGATTACAGGTGAGAGCCACTGGCACCTGGTACTCTCTGTAGATTCTTAATAGGGCTGTGGCTGCCATGAGGAAATCAGCTATGTGGACTTTAACGTCTTTAACATTAAGGGTATGGCTTTGGGCTTTGACTCGTTTCCAATTGCCTATTCTAGTGAAATGAACTTACTGAAATTCCATTATGTGATTGTTTTTTCCTTGGGAGTCTTTATTTGGTGACTGTCTTTTAAAAACAGAATTACTTCCTCTAAAATTTTGAAATTTTATGTGCGCTGGGAAGACTATTTTTCCTGGCAGCAAAGAATGACACACAGTTACAGCGTCATCTTGAGATGTGCTTCACTTGCTACACTAAGGCTCCTTTAGCCACAACTTGGGGCCCCTGGAGTCCCACTATACTCTTAGCTTCTAATAGTCTGTGTGATCTGATGTAGAGAATCTAAGTCCTCAACAGGATTAGCCACTGACAGAAGAAAGAGGCCAGCACTGGTGGTTTTCACCTGTAATATGATCAGCTCAGGAGGCTGGCATCAGAGAATCCATGTTCAAAGCCAGCCTGGGCAGATACATCTGAGAAACTCTTATCTTCAGTTACCTAGCAAAATGCCAGAAGTAAAAGTGTTGAGTGCCAAGCTTAAGTAAAAAAGCTAAGGAAGAGTGTGAAGTCCTAATAAGACAAAAGAAAGGAAGAAGGGAGGGAGGAAGGGAGGGAAGGAGGAAGGAAGGAAGGAAGGAAGGAAGGAAGGAAGGAAGGGAGGGAGGGAGGGAGGGAGGGAGGGAGGCAGGGAGGGAGGGAGGGAGCAAAGAAGGGAAGGGAATGAGGATTTCTGCATTCATCCTATAATGCCTTGTAATTTTTTTCCTTTATGTCTATATCTCAATCTTGATCATTTTCCCAGGGCCCCGGTACTCTGACATTGGCCTTTGACTGAATCCCAATCAAGACCTGAGGCTCTCCTCTCTCCCTGCAACCTGCCCTCAGTACCAAGGCCAACAACAACACAGACGCCAACTCCAACATCAACAGCTGTCTGCCTGGGTCACTGGCCCCAGTCTCCTTTCACAGCCAGAGCCCTAGGCTCGAGGTCCCAGAGTGCCTCTTCCTGGATCTTTCTCTACTCCAAGGGGCTTCTGGGATTGGCTTATCCTAAAAGCTGAGCTTCTGCTCTTACAGTCCTTTCAAACCAGGATGAGTGGTCCAATTGTGTTTGCTTTGTGTTTCTGGAAGGAGGAAATCAACAGTAAAATCAACAGTAGAGGAAGAAGAGAAAAAGGAAAAGAAGGAGAAGGAGGAAGAGGTGGATAAGGAGAAGAGTCAGAGGATAAAAACATGGAATTGTGTTCTATTTCTTGACTTTTAAGCTTGTCTGAGACCACAATGAGCCCAGGGGCGATCTACTAAACACATTTCTCAGCGTCAACTCTCACCCATGTCCTCATCAAAAACTCTATCCACATCAGCACATCTCATTCTAGAAGAGCTTCCCCTTGGTCCTGTAGTCTGTCCCCAGGAGGACAGAAGGGCCAGAAGACCTGTAATCAGTCCCCAGGGTCTTCCTGATCTTCCCCCAGGGAGGTGCCTGAGTGCTCTGGCTAGTTACCTGTGAGGGCAACCAAGTGTGGCAGGCAGAGGCGGTTGGCCAAGATGATGAGCTTCATGTCATCCAGGTCGGGGCTGGAGGTGAACATGCCAGTGTACAGGTACTCCAGTACGGCCCGCATGCAGCTCTTGCTGGTGTAGGGAAACACCACCTGGAGTGGGAAGAAGAGGGCAGGTGGCACTGAGGTCCACTGAAGGGCAACAGGAACTCAGAAGCTGAAAAGGCCTGATCCACACAGCTGATCTCCAGATAGGTAGCTTTTTCTCAGCATCTACCTGTATTGGTTTAGGAGATAACCCCCTCCGCTCTCCCAAAGTCCTGACCCCTTCTCTGCAACAACTGGCACTGAGCCCCAGCTTTGCTGACAGTACTTTTTTTTTTTTTGCCAGTCCTGGGGCTTGAACTCTGGGCCTGCGCACTGTCCCTGGGCTCCTTTTGCTCAATTCTAGCACTCTACCACTTTGAGCCACGGCGCCACTTCCCGTTTTCTGGTGGTTAACTAGAGATAAGATTCTCATGGACTTTCCTGCCCATGCTGGCTTTGAACTGTGATCCTCAGATCTCAGCCTCCTGAGGAGCTAGGATTACAGGCGTGAGCTTGTACAGGCTTGCTGACAGTATCTTTTGAAGAGACCTGGATACTTCCTGAACTCCTCTTGAAGTTACAAGATGCTGGAAGGAGTTATTTCGGTCAAGAACACAGCCCCAGCCCCACTGTGCCTGCCAGGGAGCCACCAAAATGAGATAGAGAATGAGGAAAGGGAACACCAGCTGCTGGCTTGGAGTGGCTGCTTTGAACCTTTGGGATCTCTTCAGTGCAGAACTGCCACAAAAACTGCTTTCTCATCAGACGCAACTCTCACGAGATTTGCTGGGAATTAGCTGGAGCTTTCAAGGTCCAGAGCGGGCTGGCCTCGGGGCCTTCGGAGAATCCTAATCTCTTACTGCATATCCATATCCTGCAGAGAACAACCCCAACTCTGCCGCCCATAAACACTTCCCAGAAATCACGAGGAGCTCACATTCTAGACCCTGGGAAGCAATGCTGGTGAGCACTTACTAAGAGTCAGGTACTTAGAGGGAGCACTCAGCAGAAGTCAACTACCTCATCCCCACACTCAACAGCAATTACAGGCCAGCTGGGAACGCCACATAGAGATGCCCAGTGCGAAGCAGAACTTGGTTACTACAAGCGGGAGTGATGAGCAATTGATGTTCCCAGACTTAGGGATGATGGAGAATACCAAGGCCTGTGGCCTGGCCTAGTCTGCTGTCTAGATGTATGGAAAGGAGAGAGGAGCATGTGGGAGAACAGTTCAAAGAACATACTGATAGGCCTTGTCTACGCTTCCAGTCTAGGAGCCTGTGAAAGTGGAGCGTGAGGGAGAAGGGCGGGTGAGCTGGAGCACGGACTAGAGGGAAAGCTGGCGGTATTCAGCATGCTCTCTCATGTTATGTATTCTGGTTCCCTGATACCTAGACCCCTGCTGGCCTTCAGCAGACTTCCTCTTCCAAGGCTTTGCCTGCAAATAGCTAATGAGTTGCCCTTAACTGACCTTTGCACAAACAGACCAACCAATCCAGAGCCAACGGCCTCCTCCTTGACTGCTGTCAGCCCCCCCTCCCGCCCACCTCGCACCCCATTATTTCCCCAACCTAATCATCCCAGAGCCAAGTACCAGACAACCAGGCCAGTTACCCCAACCAATGCTAAACCTGCTTACCCTGCCTCACTAGCCCGTTCCCACAGAACCATCAGCTTCCCAGCCAACCCTGCTGTTTTCCTGGGTGGTTCCTCTTGGACGCATCTCACCTGGGGATTGAACTCGGGGTCTGGGTGACCTCCCTTAACTCTTTTGTTCAAGGCTAACACTCTACCACTGAGCCACAGCTCTGTCTCTGACTTTTGGGTATTTATTTGGAGATAAAGAGTCTGACAGATTTTCTTGCCCAGGATGGCTTTGAACCATGATCCTCAGATCTCAGCCTATTGAGTAGCTAGGATTACAGGCATGAGCCGCCAGTGCCCAGCCTGGACTGCTTTACTTTTTTTTTTTTTTGGTCCAGTCGTGGGGCCTGAACTCTGGGCCTGGGCACTGTCCCTCAGCTCTTCAGCTCAAGGCTAGTGCTCTACCACTTGAGCCACAGCACCACTTCTGGCTTTTTCTTTTTGCTTATGTGGTGCTGAGGAATCGAAACCAGGGCCTCAGGCATGCAAGGCAAGCGCTCTACCACTGAGCCACCTTCCTAGCCCCTGGACTGCTTTTCAATAGCAGCCATCTCCTGATTTGTCACCATAGTCCTTAATAATAAAACCTACCTTTGAAGACACTGGTAAGTGTGGTTTGAACCCCTGACGTTCTTCTAGTTGTTCATGTGTCTCAGGGAGGCCACAAGATACAATGCCAAGAGCCAGAAAGTTCCAACTCTAACCTCTCTTTCCCATTCAGACAATTTCTTAGGGTCTCCATTTCCTACACACAACATGGGAATGTACTGTGTATAAGACTTATGTGTGGGGCTGGGAAGGTGGCTCAGTGGTAGAGTGCTTGCCTTGCATGCATGAGGCCCTGGGTTCAATTCCTCAGCACCACATAAGCAAAAAGAAAAAAAGCTGGAAGTGGCGCTGTGGCTCAAGTGGTAGAGCGCTAGCCTGAAGCTGAAGAGCTGAGGGACAGTGCCCAGGCCCAGAGTTCAGGCCCCACGACCGGACCGCCCCCCCCCAAAAAAAAAGACTTATGTGTGGGGCTGGGAAGGTGGCTCAGTGGTAGAGTGCTTGCCTTGCATGCATGAGGCTCTGGGTTAAATTTCTCAGCACCACAGAAGCAAAAAGAAAAAAGCTGGAAGTGGCGCTGTGGCTCAAGTGGTAGAGCGCTAGCCTTGAGCTGAAGAGCTGAGGGACAGCGCCCAGTCCCAGAGTTCAGGCCCAGAGTTCAGGCCCCACGACCGGACCCCCGCCCCCCAAAAAAGACTTATGTGTGGACTAAATTGTGTGTGTGTGTGTGTGTGTGAGTGTGTCTGTGTACTTCCTACCAAATGCAGACGTTTGTATAATTCCCTTTCCTGGAATGCTGTAAAATCCTTGGCTACAGGCAGTATCCTCTCACTCCCTTAGTCGAAGCTGCAAAAAAAGGCCCATTACTGATGAAACCTAGAACACCAATAGCGTAGAACCCTCTCCTGCCCCTACTCTTCCCATGCTCAGGGAGGCAGTTCTCACCTCCCTGGTAGAACTCTCCACAAATGGCCCCCCAAACATGGCGGCCATCCAGTCACAGCTGGAAATCAACAGGGGCTTGTGGGCGCTGATGGTACCATCGTCCAGGATGAAGGTCACATCTGTCCAGGAGGAAAGAGGCATCATGTGAGAATACAGTAGGTATGTGGGACAATCAGCCCCGAGAGTGGTCAATGGGCCCCCACTACCCAACTCCTTCTGAAGCCACACAACATGAGCATCAGATGGCAAAGCGCTTAGTTTCAAGAGCTGGGTGGCCATGTACGTCACCAGGAGACCAGGAGCTGAGACCAACTGGCAATGCTACCAGGACTTAACCAACCTCCTCTGAAAACTACTTGGAAAGAAGCCCCTGTCTTCTAAGCATGCCCCATACCTGAGAAGGTGCCTTTCGCCAAGCATTCCTTGACCCGATTGGTCCGGCGGACGTGGAAGGCCTTGGTGATCTCCTGGTTCATGAAGGCCTCATTGTTGAGAATGTTGGCTACCATCATGCGCAGATCAAAGACCTCTAGCAGCTCAGCGATGTGGGCAATGTGCATGAGGTCCCGCTCGTTCTCACCCAGCTCTCCTGTGTACAGGTACTTGAGAACAGCCCGGAAGGGCCCTGGCTGAATGGAGTTGTCCATCTTCACTACCACCATCAGCCGAGATTTGAAGGTCAGAGGGTCTTCTGCCATCTCTTCCTGGATGCTCACAAAAGCTCGGCTCCAGGAAGACAGCACACGACCCCTGCCTGGCAGGTACCCTGTGCCATTGCCCCGTAAGATCCCATCACTGGTCGAGGCCCGGAGACCAGCAGGCCCGGAACCCCCAGCCTCATCCACACTCTCACACACGTCAAAGCTGGCTGCCCGTAACAGGAAGTCCCGCCCATGATGGTGGTGGTGGTGGTGGTGGTGTGGGTCAGGGTGACCCCGGTGGTCCTCAGGGCGGGGGCCTCCTGGCCCCGAGGGGCCTCCCAGCTCCCCCTCGCTCAGGTCCATGAGGAACAGGTCATAGAACTTGGAGGAGGAGGTGGAGAGGTAGATCTTGTGCGCAAAGATGCGCACCCGCTCCTGCAGCACCAGGATGACGTCCGCGCAGAGCGGGTCCTCCAGGAGGTGGGCGGGGCACTCCTCACTGCTGGACGGGGGATCGGGCACCACGATGATGGGAGGCGGCGGCTTGGGAGGCAGGAAGGGAGCCTGCAGCAGGGGCCGCTGCACATTGCGGAGATGAGACTTCCAGAACTGCAGGTGGCGGCGGGAGATGAGGGCAGCCCGAATAGCATTGTCAAAGACGTCCTTGATGCCAAACTGGGCCACCACGCTGGTCTCGTAGTAAGGGATGCCCAGCTCCTTGGCCACCTCCCGGCCCTTCTCCGGGGCAAGGATCTCATTGGGCTTGATGGGCCTGGTGAGTTTAAAAGAGGAAATGTGCATCGGTAGTGGGGAGAGCTGCCCCTTCTTCCCCATGCAGGAGGGGCTCTGTTCAGAAGCCACGTCATTGGTCCCCCTCCTGCCCTGCCTTTTCCCTTCTGCCTGACAAATTCCTATAAGGTCCTTCAAGAGGACTTCCTTATCTATGCCAGGCCTCCCCATATGAACTTACAAAAGCTATACATTTAATAAAGCAGTGGGGCTGGGAAGGTGGCTCAGTGGTAGAATGCTTGCATTGCATGCATGAGGCCCTGGGTTTGATTCCAAAGCACCACATAAGCAGAAAAAAGCTGGAAGTGGCACTGTAGCTCAAGTGGTAGAATGCTAGCCTTCAGCTGAAGAGCTGAGGGATAGTGCCCAGGCCCAGAGCTCAGGCTCCAGGACCGACCAAAAAAAACCCAAAAAACAAAACATTTAATAAAGCAGTGATAATAGTGCCTTTCTACTTGGATGCAATTGAATGGAATTAGCATGCAATGCTTCACATTGGAATGTAACTTGATCATATACAGTGATCCCTCAGAATTTAAGGGGGTTTGGTCCCAAGATCCACCTCAGATACCAAAATCCATGGAAGCTCAAGCCCCTTAAATAAAATGTCCTTGAGTTTATATAAAATGTAGGGGCAGGGCTGGGAAGGTGGCTCAGTGGTAGAGCACTTGCCTTGTATGCATGAGGCCCTGGGTTCGATTCCTCAGCACCACATAAGCAAAAAGAAAAAAAAGCCGGAAGTGGCGCTGTGGCTCAAATGGTAGAGTGCTAGCCTTGAGCTGAAGAGCTGAGGGACAGTGCCTAGGCCCAGAGTTCAGGCCCCATGACTGGACCCCCCAAAAAAACAAAAAAAAAATGTAGGGGCATCCTCCACGTCATTCTTAAAATCATCTTTAGACTGCCTCTAATACCTCATACAGTGTCATACTAGGTCAATGGTTGTTACAATGTCTTGTTGGTGGCAAAATGGCAAGATTAAAAGTCCATATGCATTCAATAGAGATGGAGTTTTTAAAGAGATATTTTCTAGCCGGGTGCCAGTGGCCTGTAATTCTAGCTACTTAGGAGGCTGAGATCTGAGGATAGCGGTTCAAAGCCAGTCTGGGCAGGAAAGTCTGTGAGACTCTTATCTCCAATAAACCACCAGAAAACTGAAGTGGCACTGTGGCTCAAGTGGTAGAGCACTAGCCTTGAGCTGAAGAACTGAGAGACAGCATCCAGGCCCAGAGTTCAAGGCCCATGACCGACCAAAGAGAGAGAGAGAGATTTTCCATTTGCACTTGGTCAAATTCATAGGTAGAAGCTACAGATCCAAAGAGCCAACTGTCTGTCTCCAACAAAATGACCTTTTATCACCTTCTCCTCCCTGACTTTCCTCCACAGTGTTTAGCACAGTACTGTTCACACAGTAGGTGTACAGTCAGTACATGGCGGGGTGACTCAACGAATGAATGAATGAGCATATGTGTTGGCTCTGATGTGAGCCTGTGCCACATGGAGGGAGAGGTGAGGCGCTCACTTAGGGCTGTGTGGGGAACCGTGGTGCTGAGCCATCCCCATGCGTCGCGGTCCTCTCCCCAGGCAGCAGCCCTCTTACCTAGCCAAGGGCCTCCGGGCCCTGTTGACGGCCTCCAGGTCGGCATAGCGCAGGTCCAGCTGACAGCCCACCAGGATGACAGGTGCTCGGGGGCAGAAGTGCTTGATCTCTGGGTACCACATGGTCTTAACATGGTGGAGGGAATTGGGGTTGGCAATGGAGAAACATAGAACCACCACATCCGATCTGGGGGAGGGGTGACAGGAGAGGTTATGGGTAGAGAAAGCTGGTGGGAGGTTACCTGCCCCCAGGAACAAAGGAAACAAGCACTCCTACTTCACACCTGGCTTGTGAACCCATGATCCTCCCATGATCCTCCACACAACTTGTAAGAACAGTAACTCTATTTGATGGAGCATTTCAGAACTTAGAAGCTCCTGGCCTCATAGCCAGCTTTCAAAATGACCATTTTAACCCTCTCCTAGTGACAATATGATCTGAGAGCTGCTAGGCGGCAGAGCTAGGATACAAATCAGGCCTCCGGACTCCCAAGTTGAGAGGCCTCCGCCACCCAGAGCATCTGCCATGCTGTTTTATCTCTGCCCCCTTCCTCCTGGCTTCAGCTGCATGGAGTTGCTCAGTTCCTTGGGAAAGCAGGGAAAATCCACTCGTGAGGCCTCCTGCAGGCAGCCAAGGCCTTTCCTACCTCCCATAAGCAAAGCGGCGGTCTTTGTGATGGTCGCCAAAGGTGTCCCAAAGGCGCAGGGAGACGCTGACGTCATCTACCACATCCCGCGAGCGTTCCAACACCTGAGAGGGGTAGATGGGGGAGAGAAGGGCACCGATCCTTAGGGAGGGGGCCAGCTCATCCCGGAGGCTCCAGGGCTGGTATGGCTTATTGTTTGCTATTGGACCACATGAAATCTCAGGAGAATCAATAACAAGACAGTTGACAAGCTGAACAGAAGCAGGAGACACCATAAGGGAGAGACTGGTCCTGGTTTCCTCAGAAGCCCACCCTTGCTCCCAGCTATCCTTGCTTCATTTTCTTATGAGCCTCTGATCTCTTGCTATTAGATCTCCCCCCCCCACTTAGTTCTTACCCCTTTCTCAACCTGGCCCTGGCCCCCAACTCCCCAATATCATTACTATGATGGCACAAGATGCACCGTCCACACAAAGCTGGGGTCCCAGGAGTTACTTCATTGAAATTAAAAAATGGTCTGAGGTCCCCCCTAAGGGGTGGGCTCCCCACAGACCTCCCTCCAGAGGCTCTTCCAACTCCACCCCGAGGGGGCTCCTGAACACTCTGCAGACAACCCCAAGCCCAGGCAAAAGAAGAAAGTCCCAGAGCTAGGAAGGTGGCTCAGTGGTAGAGTGCTTGCCTTGCATGCCTGAGGCCCTGGGTTCGATTCCTCAGCACAACATAAGTAGAAAAAAAAAGCCAGAAGTGCTGTTATGGCTCAAGTGGTAGAGTGCTAGCCTTGAGCTGAAGAGCTGAGGGACAGTGCCCAGGCCCAGAGTTCAGGCCCCACGACCGGACACCCCCCCCAAAAAAAAGAAGAAAGTCCCAGATGTGCCAAATGGCCTTGCAAGCCTTACCTCCTGACACACACGATACTGGTCGATGGCCCACACTGTGGGCACATGGGTGGCGAGCAGCTGGTACTGAGTAAGGGTGGCATTGCAGGCCCGGGCACAGATGAGCCTGGTCTTGCCTACGGCGTTGTCCCCCACCACCACGCACTTGATGGTCTCTACGTTTGGCCTTTCATAATCCATGTCAGAATCCATTAATTGGGACCTGAGGGGCAGGAAGGAAGCAGTCAGGACAGCCTGGCATGCCCGCGCACTGAGGACCGGGGCCAGAATAGGCAGCCCTTCTCAGCGGAGGCTGTGCGTGCATCAAGCATTGGTGTTGCTGCCCAGAGGAGAGAGAAGTGGGCAGCTCTCAAGGCAGACGCTCTGCAGGGACCCCCGGGAGGCAGGATCCCACTCAGACTGAGATGGGCAGTGCCACCAAGGAGGCTGCATATCTCCCTTCAGCCCCCACCATCTCCAGCCGGGCTTCTGAGTGGAGGAGACCCATGAGAGATCCCACGGCGGAGCCTGCACGGGGCCTGTCCCATCCCCACACCCTCAGAGAGGGGAGCCTCTGCCTGAGAGCTCACTCTTGCTCTGCCCACCCCCGCCCCCCTTCCTGGGGCTGTGGCAGCAGCAGAACAAACAGCTGACAGAAGCAGAGTTAGGGCCAGGTCCCCACCCCTTCCCAGCATGCCCCAGGGCAGGGCCACTTTAAAATTTAATGGACTTGTCAGGGCTGGGTGGCAGCTCTCCCAGACTCCCTTCTTTCCCCCCTAGTCCTCTCTAGTAGTGAATTTCCAAGCCCCAGGCTGCTCATGCCCATCCTCTAAGCTCAGCCCCCTCTATGGGATGGAAGAGGGAGGCTTCTAGGTGCCCATGCCCAGCCCTTGGGCCTCTCCTCCTCTCCTCTCATTCTAGCACGTTGTCCACGTGCCTTGCTCAGCTGAAAGCCCACTTTGAGCTGTGGGTGGAGAGAACCACAGGCTGTGGCCATGCACTCTATGGGCCTTCCCATTGGTGCAGAGAGAAAGAGAGAGAAAGAGAGGAGGAGGAGGGAGCTGCCTCCTTTGAACCTCCCACTCCTAATGAAGGAGGATGCTCATTCAGGCTGGAAGACTCTAGACCACTGGTGCTCCTGGGAGAAGCTGGCTGGCTCTAATATGTATGTGAGGAACTGGTTGCTGGAGGAAGCAGAAGGTGAAAGCTTCTGCCTGAATTTCTGCCTCAGTTTCCTCCAATGCTGGGCAGAGAGGAAACAGCTTGTCCACCTCCAGAGGAAGATGGCTCAAATGAATACACAGAAGGGTGTTCTGCAGTCAAAATGTCATGGCAGTGTTTAAAAAGCTGTTACCAGAAGGCCCTGGGCTTGATTGGGGCTTTGGCTGGCAACCTCCCTGTTGGCCTCCACTCTTCTAGAAGGGTTAAGAAAGAAGGTAGTAGGGGGGCAGAGCAGGTCATCAGCCTGGGGGTAGGACCACAGGAAGTAAACCATCCCAGACTGACAGGCCGGGTGCAGAGCTGCCCAGTCACCCCGCTGCTGAGCCAGGCCACCAGCAGCAGCAGAGCAGCTCCATTCCTGCTGGGCTGTAACTGGATGCCAGCATGCAGGAATGCAGAACTGAAATATCCAAGTAATGGTGGCAACTGGGATTTGCTCAAGTGGATGCAACACTGGCAACCTAAGCAAAAAAGTGCAGCAAGGGCTTTTCAATGAGAGAGCTTCCTTCTCCTCCTTGGGATCTTTCGGGATCTGAACCCTTCAACTCCAAGGGCTCTCCAGCCCCAATTCTCAGGACAATGAACATATCACTCACCCCCTGCTCCTTCTGGCTCTTCCTACCAGGCAACCATTCTAACCACCAACTTCTGATTCCCTCTTCTCTTTTCTGATCTGAGAACTAGGAACCCCATTTCTATGGTGGTCTCAACTCAAGTTGTAGGATATGTAGGTACCAGAGGAGTTATCTGGGTGTGGTTTATCAAATAAATAACAAATCCCAAAGAAAAAATATAGACTCCCCACCAATATTGTATGTGCACCTGTAAAATAAAGACAGAAACTCTTCTTTCTTAAGTTTGGATTCTGGTGGCAGTCACGTAGGTCTGTGGGGCAGCAAGGAGAGGAGGCACAGAGGAGGGGCCTCAGTTGTTAAATCCAGGAGCACCTTATCTTGATAGTGGCGATAACACCAGGATACCAGCGGAACAACCAAGCTCAGCACTTTAGGATGAGTACACCCCTGAGCACCCTGTTATGTCACCTCCAGCCAACCGACAAGTCAGAAAGTAACAAAGAGAGGACCATGAGATTAGGATGCCAGACTGGCTGGAATGGTACTCACGATGAACTGTCCCTCACCACCCATACCCAGGCTGCCCTTCTCCTGTCCTCTGTGTCCAGAGTTAAAAAAAATCATCCTTGCCCATTCCACCCAACGGAGTGGTAAATTTCATTTCCTAACCAGGAAAGGGCAATCACTCCACTTTTGTGGGCATCAGTCTTCCCTTCTGGAAAATGGGTATAAAGGCGTGGGGGGGGGAATTTGTTTGAATTTTCGTTAATTCATGCCAAGTGAGCCTGGGTGGAAGGAGGTATTTGTCTTCTTATGTAATGTAGTATTATATAATGCTAGATTGCATATCTATATGTGTAATTATCTCTCTCTTTAAGATACAGACTGGCCCAATTAAGCCAACAGAACTCTTTGTCTAATCAGGCCTGCTTTAAATGAGAATACTGTCCTGGAGACAGCCTGCCAGCAGTAATATAATTTCTGCTCTAGAATATGGTCACTTTTCTCTATCAGTGCTGATGCAAGATAATACAATCCATGAAGCTCCCCAACTTCCCCTTTCTTTCTGACACACCCTTCTTCAATCTCTCCAGACTTTTCTGCACAATTGCCTCATCCCTATTCCTTCAGATCCTCCCAACCACCATCTATCACCTATGATTTCCTTGCCACTCTGCCCTGGGTATAACAACTCACTGCTCTCCCGTGGCAATCCCAAAGTTGCGGATGTATCCTCCCCCAACTCGTGTCCCAAGATCACCTTCCCCCTCTTCAAAACCAGTCTGCTGTCCAACTGCTATGTAAGTCCAGGCAGGATCCAAAGGTGTGCTCAGACCAGCTACAAACCTTAAGGGCTCCCATTGCCACCCCCATATCTCTACACACACTCTCTGCAGAGCTCAAAAAGGCCCCCTTTCCCTCCCACAACTGATAGGAGGCTTGTTCATCTGTGGCTGCACTAGTCTGGTTGTCAAGGAAACGACAGAATCTCTCTGGGAGCCTGGCTTGTCTCCTAGCAACCGATATCCCACATCCTGCATCTTCCGAAAAAACGTGAAAGGGAGGAAAACCCAGAAAATGAAGGTAAAAATCAGGGAGGATGGATAGGCAGGGAGATTCAGGGGAAGGGGGAGAGGGAGGACTCTGAACTAAAGGCGCTCCCACTGGCATTGTCAAAGGAGAGAAGGTGGATTGCTCACCGCGCAGACCCAGCGGAAAGCTAGGCCCAAAGGGATCGTGAATGGTCATATCCACAACAACCACAGCAACCAAAAGCTCAAGGCTAAACACCACGTAAAGCCTCGGAGGTGGAAACATTAGCAAAGCTTCAGATTTCCACCAGTACTCAGTTGGCCTGACTGCAATGGAGTTGACTTCAAAGGAACATCTCTGCCGCAAGCAAAACGCCCAAATCCCACTGGTTTAAATAACCAGATCAATCACCACCACTACCACCACAAAAAAGCCCCGCAGAAACAGATGCGCTGCCATCACTCCGGAATTCTACCCCCCCCCGCGTCCCCTCTTCCCGGCCCCCCAACACCCCGCTCCGCACAAGCGATATAAAACAAAAAATAAAACGGGGAAGGGGGAGGGGCACGGCTCGCCGAAGCAAGTCATCTTCCCCTCCTGGGAGACCCCGGCGGGGGTGAGTCCCTCGCCCCTCCAAACCCAGCAACCGCAGCAGGAGCGCAAGAACCGAGTGGGACCCGGAGACAGGCCCGGGAGGGGCGCGCGCAGGGCCGGGCGGGGTGCGGGAGGAGGGCGAGGCGGCACGCCGTCCCGGCCATGATAGAAATTAAAATCATTTACTTACACCACTACATGTGACGGGGTAATTTCTAGCGTACGGAACACATCTCTTCCTGCCAGGCACGCTCATTTTAGTAGGATGTCTGGGGGTCACTCCGCGCGTGCGAGTGGGCCCGACGCCGGGGTGCCGTCGCGCAGGGCTGGGGCTCCAGCCGCCGGGCCGGGTCCCCCGTTGGATTAGAAACTCTGACCGCTCCGCCCGGGCCGGCCGGCCGGCCCCGAGCAGCCTCGCCTCAGCATCGCCCCGCGCCCCGGGCGCCCAATGTCATGGAGGCGCTGGGCCGCGCCGGGCTCCGCGGCGGACGCTGCGGGGCGGCGCGCGCGAGTGGAAGGCGCGGGGCGAGGCCGCCGCCTCTACGCGGGCCCGCGGCTCCGGCGCTGCCAAGGAGACGCCTGGCGCTGCAGTCCCGGGGACCGCCGGCGACCTCCTTTTTTCATTCACAAAAAGAGAAAAAAAAAGAAAAACGGGGAGGAAAAAAAAGGGAGGAGGAAACAGGCATTCGCACCCGAGAGCAGCCGCCGTAGCCGGGACCGCCCACCGCGGCGCGCCGTTGGTGGAAAGAGGGCAGGGGCGGGGAAGAGGCGGGGAAAGACGGGGATTGGGCGCGCCGAGGTCCCGCCCCCATCACGCCCCCTCAAGGCCCCGCCCCGCCGCTCCTGCCTGCTCCACTTCGCTTCCCCACCCCTCCGTGAGCCTTGGGAGGGTCTAGGCTGGTCGTACCTGACCAGGCCTCTGATGCCTCAGATGCAGTTTTCTCTTTTGAGAAGGATCTCAACAGCATGCTAAGTGCGTCCTGGAAGGGATGCAAGTGGAGGACATCCTGTCTTTCCCCTTAGACCCTGGCCTCCACCCCTTGCACCATCCTCTGCTGTCTAGGGGGGGGGGGGGGGGGAAGGAGAAGGATTGGGGGGGGGGGGGGAGTGTTCTTGGTCCTTAAAGGCTTTGATGTCTCCATCAGCCTTGAACTGGCTGCTGCAGTCATTGTAAGCTTCAGGAGGTTACCTGTACTTCCTTACTCGTGCCTCACCTGGACCTTCTTCACCTGTCCACCTCCCCATCTGGTGGCCATCAGGGCTTCACTAGTATCTCTGACCTCTGAAAGGAATGCTACGAAAACACCAGCCACAGAAACAGTGCCTCTGTCCCTTTGGGCTCTCTGTCTCATGCTTTGGAAAAGCATGATTTTAACACCTGGCATAGGAGTGACCCTCAGAAGGAAGCATCCATATGCAAGGCTGGTTTATTTACACTGAGCTGGACAGTTGGAACTATAACATTCAGCTCCTTCTGGTTTTATCGATTTTGTTAATTACCTCTGGACATGTGTGCACACTGGTACAAGGGTGCTTGAACTCATGTCTTTGTTGTACTTGCTTGAGTGTTTTGCCCAAGGATGTACTCTTCCACTTGAGCCACACCCCCACTTTATGGTGGTTTTGTTTTGTTTGTTTGTTTGTTTGTTTTCCTGCTTGTTAATTGGAGAATTAAGAATCTCTTAGAGGGGCTGGGAAGGTGGCTCAGTGGTAGAGCGCTTGCCTTGCATGCATGAAGCCCTGGGTTCAATTCTTCAGCACCACATAAGCAAAAGGAAAAAAGCCGAAAGTGGCACTGTGACTCAAGTGGTAGAGCGCTAGCCTTGAGCTGAAGAGCTGAGGGACAGCACCCAGGCCCAGAGTTCAGGCCCCACGACTGGACCCCCCCCCAAAAAAAAAATCAAGAATCTCTTAGAGTTGTCTGTCTGGGTTGGCTGCAAATCTTGATTCTCAGATCTCAACCTCCAGAGTTGATAGGATTACAGGTGTGAGCCACCAGCACCTGACTAGACAGTTTTTAAAGGCCAGTCTACCACGGTTCCCATCTCAACCCACTCTGTCACATCTCTGGCTTATGCTCTGAGGATGCACATTCACTGTCATTTCCTATTTTTGGAAGTCTGCTTCTCACCTATTAATGCAGGTAGCTGGAACGTAGGTGTTCATGATACATGCATTTCTTCTTGTTCAAGCCATCCAGAGCTGGAGAGGAGGTTGACAACAACTAAGGGTGCCCACTTCACACTTCTGGCTAGGGCTCTTTCCATAAAACAAAGTGCTAGTTCAAATGCATACTTAGCAAAGAAACTAGACCATGCTCAGGTGTTTTCTTCCCCTGAAGGTATGGTATCCATTTGTGTGCCAAAGAATGACCCATACCAAAGCCTAGTACCATATGAGCTCTCTCAATGTTCTCATGACCAGGCCTTTCCTGGCCATATCCTCTTCTCTTTCACCCAGATCCAGACAGCCACCTGAGCACTGGATGCCTACTGGGTTCCTAATGGTATGATCTATCATGTCTCCTGGCAGTAGTACAGACCCAGTGCCTTGCAGAACAAAAAATAAGTAAGGCTCCCACAGGCACCGGGAGGGTGGGGGTAAGGAGAGGGCGTTATTCAGCCTTTATCTATTGCCCTTTCCTTTCTGTGAAGAAAGTTCAGCCTAAGAATAGCAACTAGCCTGAACTGTGGGATGCTAAGGTACAGCTTTGAGAGTGGAGTGGGAGAATCTTGGACCAGTACAGGTGTCAATGAAGTTGCATACTCATACTACATGAAGTGGCTCGTGCAGAGCCAGGCCCTTGGTGCAAGAGTTGGCCTCCATTCTCAGCTCTGCCTCTGTACCAGTCCCTTCTTTCAGCTTTCCTTCAAACCAAAGTCTATCCACGATTTCAGCTCTCAGACCCTTCACTCCTTACCAATTGTGGCAATTCCCCCCCTCCAGTCCCAGCTTCCTCCAAAGCCAAGGCTCCCTTCTTCTCCAGGCCCCTGTCAGGTTGCCCTACCTGCATTTCATTCCCCCATGTCAAGGAATTGCTGTGGCCCTTTCTATCAGAGCGGCTTGTATGGGCCTCCAAGACCCTTCACTCCCCTCACTAACTGGGCCTCCACACACAAGCTCCTAGCTTTTACTGGATACCAGGGCAATGGAAGAGTCACAACCCAAGGGGCGGATTGTCCTCAAGCCCTGACCCTCACTGAGCCCCCACTGTGGCTGATTTTAGGCCCCTCTCCAGCCAGCCCTCACTGGGACTACCTCCAGACCCTCATCTCCAGTCTCCCTGCTGCTCAGGACAGTGTTCCACCCACTCTGCGCCTGAGATCTCCTACCACTCTTCCTCTACTTTTTCCAAGCCCTCTATGACCAGATCCTGGAAATGGCCGTTCCAGAGGCAGCTGCAAGCAAGGGCTGCCCTGGCCCATTCATGCGCCTCCCTGTCCCTCTCAGCGCTCTCAGCCTCCCACCCTGCTCACGTGGGGCTGCCCAGCCCCAGGTTGCTTCATTTCTTTGCTTCTGGATGTGAAATGGAAAGGCTCCTGGAGCCAGTCAGTCTGTCTCTTTCCCCCACTGCCCCTGTGTGGTGAGGAAGCCTTCAGAATTACTTGTCATTCTACCACCTGGCTGCCTATCTGGGTTTGTATGCCACCCTGCCAAGTAGCCTGGGTACTGCCCTGGCCTGGCCTGGCTTACTCGCTGGGGGATCGGCAGTGTGTGGCTAAGGTGCTCCTGCTGGCCTGCAGGTAGGTTTGATCCTACAGTATCGAGCTCCAGCATCTCTCCCACACCAGCAACTGTCTGTGACATAAGCCTCTTGAGCCAGGCCCCCAAAAACAGCTCCTCCAGGCCTTCCTGTCCTCCAGGCTGTCATGTAGCTGCTGTCTTCCTGACACCAGACAGACACCTGCCGTGAGCAGGAAGCTTAGTCTGGGAAGAGAAGTATCCACTAGCACCGCGGTTCACTTCCTGCAGCTCTGCTGGCCCCGCCCAGGGCAGTCCAGCTTGTGCAGACTTCTCTGTCCACTGCCTCCGTCCCCACCCCCACATTTCAGGTGCTTCACTGAGCGGCTTAGCTCCTGCAGCTCTGCAGGTTGTGCGCGTGCGCACGCACACACACACACACACACACACACACACACACACACACACACACACACACACACACACACAC